GTATTGGAGTGAGAACTGTATTATCACATGAAAATGAAAATGTAAATGCTAGAGTGTTATTGTAGGTTTATCAGTTTTACCAAGGTGAAAAAAGATGGGAATTTATAAGTATTGGGGATGAGAACTGCCACATAAAGATTGATAAACCATGATTATTACCCATGTAAGATTACTCATGTAAGATTACTAAAAAGAGTGAAGAAGGATAATCAAATAGCATCATAAGAGTAAATTAAGATGTAAATGTGATCAGAAATAATAACGTAGTTGGTATTATTTACCAAAATGAAAAATAAAGCAATTTTTAAATAATAATTATATGAAAGTTGATATTTGAAAGGGATATTATTATATATAGAAACTCAGATTTATGTTGATAGTGATATCAAAGAGAGATAGTATTAAATTTTGATATCTAAAAGAGAATTTTTATATGTAAAATTTGGGACTATGGTTGATGTTGCTAATAGAGAGGTGTTGATATATGAGAAGTTGATAATAAAGAGAGGCTACTGTAATATCTTGATCATATGTTTTAATACGATTTGTATGAAATTGTAATAGAACGTTCTAAATTAAGTTTTTTTATCACTAACTATATATATTTATTAAAAAAAAATACTAATTAACTATTTTTAACTCAGTAGTTAATTACTTCTATCTAACTTAATTATTCTTCTTAATTACTTCTTAACTCTTTATATATAATATTTTCTGATTATATTAATTATAAATTATTTCTAATATAATATTTTATCTAATTTACTTAAGAATAAGTAGAATTTCAAAAGAATAATTATAAAAAATATTAAATACATGATAATTAAGAATTAAAATTAGTAAAATATTAAGATATTCAAAACTAAAGTAAGAAAAGAAAGAAAAACTATAATAATTAATTAAGAAATTATTAATTTAATAAAATTATAAATTAAATATAACATACATAATTAAATTAATAAAAAAATAAGATTAAATATAGATAATAATATAAATTAAAAATAGAATTAATAATAAATAAAATTAATTAATATAAATTTCTTGTATATTTAATTTAGTAGTAATTGATAATTACTATATCATATATTATAGCTGTATTATATATTATGTTATATTTATTACATCACAAAAATAGATGATTAGTTACAGTATTAAAATAATCAAATAATTAAGTGAATTTTTAAAAGTAAATATATTAAAAAAATTACTACAAAAATATATATAAAATGTAAAGTTTTCAGAACTTAAAAAAGTAATAATAAAATAATATTTGTAAGTAAAAAAATAAATACTACTAACAAATTAGTTAATAATTAAGAAAATATAAGCTTTTATGAATTACTTGAATATAACTGAAAGTAAAATTATATTTTCAAATAATTAGCTTTATTAGTTAAAAAAATAATATAATCTGAAATGAATTTAAATAAATAAGTAATTAAGATAAATATTAATAATTTTAAATATTTTACAAATAATTATGTATAAAAAGGTATTTATAATATAAATAAAATCAATCTCTTTTATTAGATAAAATCTGATATAATATTTATTATATAATAACTAGTAAATAAGAAGAAAAATAAGAAAAAACTAACAATTATTTTCTGTTATAATAGTAATAATTCATATAAAATAAAGATACTTATTATTAATCAGATTATAAAGTTATATTATTTCAAAAATATTAATTTTGTAAATCTTAAAATAATATACTAATATAATAAGAAGATTTTGAATAATAATTATTTTATTTTAGAAATAATTATGCTACTTTAATAAATAGATATATAGTCAGAAAGTTTTTTTTGATAATATATTATTTTATATAATTACTAATATAAAGTTAAGAAATATAATTATTAAATTTTTATTATTAAATATAATATTATAATTATAATTTTATAATACTAGGATAATTGTATCTTTCAAAATATATTATTAAAAAAAATTTATAAGATATTTATTAGAATAATTTGAAAATTATAAGTCTCTAAGTAAATTATTAAGCTTGAAGATAATTCTGTTCATTCAAGAATTATAACAAAATATAATATCTATAATAATTATTAATTATTTTTGATATATCAAAATCTATAATAATAAGATAAAAGAAGAAAATATATAAGTAATTATTAAAAATATAAATAAAGTTATAGAAACAATAAATCAAAATATTTAATTATTATATTATTATCATTCTATAATAATTAATAATTTTTTAAATTCAAAAAATGAAAATATAATCAAAGAGAATGAGTTAATAAACAAGAAAATTTTAGAAATTATTTACAATTCAGAAGCAGAAATAAATATTATAAAAAATAAAAATGATAGTTTAAAGTTATTAATAATATTAGTTAAAAGATAGTAAAATCACTTAATAAGATAATATAATTATTTTTAGAACAAGAAGATAATTATTCAAAGAAAATTAATAATATTATAATTAATCATCTATTTATATGATATAGTAGATATGACATAGTATATGACACAGCTGTAGCATATGATGTAGTAATTATTGATCACTACTAAATTGAGTGAATAAGTAATTTATATTAATTAATTCTATTTATAATTAATTCTATTTTTAGTTTATATTATTATCTATATTTAGCCTTATTCTTTTATTAATTTAATCATATGTATTACATCTAATTTATAATTTTATTAAATTAATAATTTTTTAATTATTATTAGTTTTCTTTCTTTTCTTATTTTAGCTTTAAATAATTTAATATTTTACTAATTTTGAATTCTTTATTATCATGTATTATTGTGATATGAACTTTTAGTAAAATATTAGTTAATTTTATTATTAGTCACTTTATATCATAATATGATTAGATGAATAATTCTTTATATCTTATTGAATATTAATTTTAGAGAATATTATTTATAGATATTTTTAAAAAATTTTGTAAATATAATGATCATAGCAAAATTATCATACCAAAGTTAGCAAAACTATCATAGCAAAATTAATAATGCTATTATAATAAAATCAATATTATGATACTAGCTAAAATAATATTTAGATCATAGCAAAACTAACATAAGTATTATAATAAAAATATTATTTGTATAATCTCTAAAATATATAAAAGTAATGTATCTTAGCTAAGTAAATTTAGACAATTAATAAGTATAACTCAGTTAATTAGTTAGTTATTTAGTTTAGTTTGAGTTTTATAAGTTTAGTTCTCAATTTATATTTTAGTAGATTATAGTTTTAAGAGAATTTTAAGAAATTTCTCTTATAAAATAGATCTTGATTAAAATTTATTATTTTATTTTGTTAATAAACTAAATATTACATCTGTATTAAAATTATATTTTGAAATTAGACTATATTCTAGCTAGTCATAACAAAAATATTATTATTATCTATTTTTAGATAAATAATAATATTTATATTCTTATTATAAATCTCTTAAAGACTCTTCTAAAAATCATTATAAGTATGTGAATACTTTTATCATGTACTTTTGTAATATTAAGTTAAATACTCACTCTCATCTCAGAATTCGTATTAAAAAGGTAATAATATTTAATATTCTTTATGATTATTCTTTTTAAATTTTACTTATTCTTGATTAAATTAAGTGAAATATTATGTTAGAAATAATTTGTAATTAGTATAACAAGAAAAATATTATATATAGAGAATCAAGAAGTAATCAAGAAGAATAATTAAGTTTAATAGAAAGAATTAGCTACTGGATTAAGAGTAATTAATTAGTAATTTTTTTTAATAAATATATATATTTTATTATATATCTTATCTTATTTTCTTCTTGCTCTATTAAGAAAGCATTTTGTTAAAAGCAAATTTGAATAATTATCTTATTGAGAAGATAATTATATTTTAGTTAAAAGTAAACTCATGTAAATTATCTTATTGAGAAGATAATTATATTTTATCAGAAATAATTCTTATATATATTATCTTATTGAGAAGATAATTAGTCATATAATCTCTTAAAGCTATAAAAGTAAACAACTACCATGAACACAGTTACTATTACTATTTTAAAATAATTATATATGAATAATTTTAAAATAGTAATAAAAGTTAATTATATATTAAAAAGATTAAAAGAGAATTTATTTATATAAAAAAGTTTAAATAAGTATTTTAAGAAGTTAAACTTATTAAAAGAGAAAAAAATGAGAAAATTAATATAAAAGTTTTAATATTCTTAATAATTTAAGCTAAATATTTAAATAGAGAGAGTTTGATTATTATATGTATTTTTATTTTCTTAATATTACAATAAATAAATAATTAAAATATGTAATAAAAAAAATAAAGTTTAAGTAAGATAATTTTGATATATTAATATATCATAAAATAATATTATATAATATAGCAAAGAACAAAAGTAAGAACAAAATAAGAACAATAAGTGTAAAGTAATTGATATAATTTTGGCCGGAAGCTTCATAATTCTGGCCAAAATTATTACTATCACGTGATATTTTGCATTTAGAGATCTGGTGAAACTATAAAAACCTCTTCTTGCATATGTATCTAGGAGATATTGTAATAAGCTTATAAGTTCCATTATGGAACTGGCTTAACAATATGCATTTGGAGAAGTTTTGCATTTAGAGAAGTTGCATTTAGAGATTGCTGGTATCCTGTGACTTTCAAAACCCTGCAGATAATTTCCGAAAATATCTAATGTTGATCGACCAATCAAAATAGCAAATTCTCTGTAAACTCTGGTAAAGTTTCATCTCTACTGGCTATGACCACTAGGAATGTCCTTCAGCTCGCGTGTTCATTGCCTCCCGCTATATACTATTTCCTGTATACCGTTGACTTTTTTGACAATTTGTTACACATATTTTTAATACAATAAAATTCACTTCGAAAATTACATTTTGCTTATTATTATGATAGCAACATATAATGTTATGTATGAATATTTGAAAAAAAGGAATCTGATAACAATTCTATTACAGGGTTATTTCTTTGCTCTGTATGAATATTAATGTCTTCGTTTCGTTCTGAACTCATCTTCATCACGAGGAACAGAGCTTCCACTTCTTTTTCTTGAGCTAGAGAAAATCAAGAATAAGTATGAAGAAAATCTGAATAGACAATTAAATAATGGGGAAAAACACTCACACATCCCATCGTTCCTCTTCCCTTAATGCTCTAGAAGGATAGCCCTTTATGTAAAAAAAAAAAATAATAAATTAGAGGAAAGGAATGCAAAACCAAGCATATTTAACTCTGGATTACGAAACTACTTCTTACCCGACTATCTTCTCGTTCCCTACTATCATACATAGGATACAATCGATCACCACCACCGCCACTTCTTTCAATTCGATCGCGCTCATCTTCACCGCCAGCTCTATCAGAAATTCGACTATCAACTGATGTATCGCGGCCACCACCAGATCGATGTAATGAAGATGGTCGCATTCGATGTGCAAATGGAGCATCTGGAGGTGGTGAATTTTCCCAGTCATGATATCCACCAACACCGCCACTTCCTCCCCCAATACCACCAGCTCCAGCGGGACCACCATGCATTGGTCCTGTCGGTGGTCTACTCGGAAAATTTGGTCGATATTGTGATTGATTACGATTATCCATATCCCACGCTATAAATATACATTATTAATACGTTTACCAAAATTCAGTTTAAAAATTTAAATAAGTAATACATACATGATGGTTCATCCATCGAAAAATATGATCTAAATAATTTATTATTTTATTAATAACTAAATTTAAAGAATGAAACTAAAAAATTATAAATATAATCATTACCTATCTTCCATTGGCATTCCTCTTCCTCTACTCATCATAGCACCAGCCATTCCACTTGGCATTCCCGGTGGTATTCTACCTGGCATACCGCCTGGCATGCCACCGCTCATTGCACTTGGCATACCTGGTGGTATCCTAGAAGGCATGCCCGGCATACCTCCGGATCGCATCATTTGTCGCATTGGTTGTCCTCCACGGAATGAAGGATCATAACCCATAGGACCGGTTGGAGGCATTTCAGGATTGCCCATGAAAAATGGCGGTGGTGCCCCAATTGGGCCTCCGATTGGACCTCCCATTTCCTTTAAAATTAAAAAGAAAACATTATTACAATAAAATGATTTCAAGAAAGTAAATAATCAATTGTATACTTACTGGTGGTGCACCAAACATATGAACTCCCATTGGTGGACCTAATTATTAATAGCATTTACAAATAAATCCTTTAAATAATAAAAGAGTTTAACTTAAATAATACCAGGAAAATCTTGTGGATATCCAGTATCTTGCATTCCATAATCATCATTTTGTCGTCCATCAACGATTTGTGGTGGTGGTATTGGTTCGAGTTCCTCTAAAACAGCCTCACGTTCACTAGAAACCACTTGAATTACTGAATCATCATGATCTCTTCCACGACGACCTCGACCACGTTGTTGATAGCGTGAATGTTCAGATCCTTGCGATAGTTGATGTTGTGGTTGTTGCTGTTGTGATTGTTGTTGAGATCCCGTTGTATTTGATTCATTTGAAATATCCGCCAAAGTATTACTATGCTCGTGTTGTTTTGATTCATAAACATTTATTCTTTTTCTTTGATGTTGATCCTCACGTATTTGTTTTTGTTTAGCACAATAAGATCGCCATGTGTGTTCATTAAATCCGAAATTGAAATAGTCAGTTATATCTGCACCTGGTTTTCTCCAAGGTTTATCTTCAAAAGAATCCAAGTCCACGTCATATAAATTAACACCTTCAATCTGACCAACTGCATTTATATCAACTGCAGGGTTACGGCTTGTTGTTGATGGTTGATGGCCACCACCGCTGCTGCCACCCCCACTACCACCACCACCACCACCACTACCACCACCACCACCACTATTATCATTTCGATTAAGTCCAATTTTGTTGTTGAATTGATTGAGTTTAATGTTCACCAACGAAGACCGTCGACCTCCATTATTATCATGACTCTTTGGTGGTTGGGGTTCCATTATTATTTCTATATCCTATATCAAAAATCATCGATTTATTTTTGTTAGAAAAATTAACAATTTTTAGAGATAAATCAATTTTACCGAGTCATCAGAATCTTCGTCTTCTTCCCCATTCTCTTCTTGTTGTGATTCGTTATTGTCTTTATTCCTTATTCTATTCGACTCCGCTCGTTCGTGTTGTGTCAAGGAATTCGGCGAACTATCTTCACTTATTAATCTTTCGTGTTCTTGCTGACGTCGTCCCTCTTGTTCTTGTTGAGTAGAAGGAAAAATATTAATATTCATTTCTGCCATTTCTTTATTTAAATTTCGTACTAATGAATGATCTCCTTCTTCACCATTCGTTGTCTCATTGGTGTACGAGTCTTGTCGCTGTTGTTGTGGTGGTTGTTTTTGATGAGATTGTTCCAAAATTAATTCGGTTTCTTTTTCTATATCATCATCGTAATTTTCACCTATATCCTGTTCTATGCTATTTAATTAAAGAATGCAATTTATTTATACAGCAATCAAATAGTATATATATATATATATATGATAAGCAAAAGAAAAAGAGAGAGAACAAATAAATTTATATAGTAATCAAAAGAGAAAAATAACCAACACTGAATTATCATCCAAAGGATCGAGCAATAAGGAAGGGTCCTCGTCATATTTGGATAATTGCAAAGCAGAACTTTTCGTGTTTCATGTTCAACATTATCATTATTATTATTATTATTATGATGAATATGGTAATTGTTATTTTAATATTATGCGATTATGATGACGACGATTATGATGATTTGCAAAGGAGATTAAAGAGTTGAGAATAACGTGAAATCGCAATTTCGAAAAAACAAAATTCAATAATTTTTCCAACCTTTGCTTATTTTCTTGGTAAAGATCGTATTTGCCCTTATTCTCTAAAGACGTTTACTTACTTTGATTGTTCGACTGCTGCCTCTCCATATATATCATAGAGATCATCGTCTGAATTGTGTTGTGTGAATATACAGTAGATAGATAAATATAAATGTATATAGTAAAATTATTAAATAAACCGAATGTTATAAATTGTAATTGTGACAAATGTTTGTATAAATGAAGAGAAACATAAAGAAAAATAAATAATAAATAATTTGGATTAAAATTTGAAATGTTTCTTTATTGAGAGCATTATTGTGTTTTTTCTTATTGTCATATAATGATACAAATGAGGGTATATGTTTTTTAAATTTTAGATTATTATAAGATCTTTCTAATATTCGTAAAGATTTTTTGTATGTTTATGTAACCATCTTTTTTCTCTACAATTATTAAGAATTAAAGCAATGATCATACCTTCGACTTTATCATCTGATGTTGGATGTGACGGATCATATAAATCATTGCCATCTAATAATAATAAATTATAAATTTAATATGAATTCTGACATGTTAGTATAACAAAGGTTTGCAAATATACTGAAAGCCTATCAATATATATTAGCTGAAATACATTAAATAAAATTTAAGAATAATAAAGGTTCGATCGAAGAGAATTATTTTAATTCGCCGTCAATCTTTATTATATGTACCTTTATCGCTCGTGCTTTTCTGTTCACTTCTGGGAAAACTATAGCTATTTTTTTCGGTAGCAACTTGTTCGTTTGTTGAGGGAAGAGTAGATCCGTACAGAAATTCGTCGTCGTCATCGTATTCTAAGATGTCTGTTGAAGGATTATCTAAACTTGCCATCTTTTTGTATTGTGTCTAACGCTACACATCTGTCAGAAATACTCGACTTCAAAAGATATAGTCATGTGACTCATGACTCGATTTCCGTTCAGTCGCGTAATATATACAATTTCTGCAAAATATGCCTACATATTCAGACTACTTTGACGCTACCACCGTTGATGAGTGGTCATACAAGGGTTTTGTCTTAAGTTTGGCCTATCTAATAAAAGACGCGTCTATAATTTCAAATATAAGAAGTGTTTAAAATTGAACAAAGGTACAACTTTTTAATAAAAGAAAGTATAAAGGCGACTTCACTAAAGAAATCATTTAAGGTTTGTACATTTTCTTGCAAAAGTGCATAACGGTTGACAATGCAAAATAGTGAACAGGAATCAAATAAATCGAACAATGATTTCTGTTAGAAATATTGCAAAAAAGATTCGACATCTAAGTTTGAGTTTTTTGCTTCGATCCACTAACATATTTTTACACTGTAGTCTTGCACATAGCTATATTCTTGATCTCTCCCTAACTTCAAAAGAATTTTCACCATATTATTGGTCTGGACTCATTTCCGATCGTCCTAATGTAATTGATGTGGCGTATCATAATAAATTAAAACCAATTCTCGATCATTTGTTTGAACAAAAGGTATATGTCGTTTTTATAACTTATTTGAGTCTTTATTGATCAATCTCTCAAAGAATGTTTGGCAGTGACTAAATCTCGTGCTTAAGGGGAAAGTTTAAGGCTCCTGAGTACGAGGAAGGATTCTCGTATAATAAAGATGACTGGAAAAAAATTATATGGTGGATAGAAGGGCCGCAGGTCGATTGTAAGTTACAATAATTTTGTTTCCCTTTTTTCTGAGGTGTCGTATAATTTATAAAGTAATTATATCTTTTATATAGTCTTGGTGCATTTGAATCTGAACGAAACCCATTAATGCAACAAGATTGTCATGAGAGAGAATTGTTGGGAGGCTACTTGATTTCAATTTTTCATGGTGCTTTGGCACTTGATGGTCGTTTTCGAGTAGTATCGTTTGTTATTACAATTGAGTATTTACAATTGTTTTAAAGATAATAACTTTTTGATTATTTCATACAATAGGGGAGAAGTTGCAGTGCAAGTTTCTTTGAGAAGACGTAATTCTGACAAAAATATTTTAGAAGAAACGGTAGATCGTAGATATATGGCAGATATGTTATGCTCTACCGATTCATATGTTTATTGGTCTGTGGTGGGCCACACACAGTTGATCCCCCCCCCCCAAAAGAAGCTTCCGATCAACTTCAATTACGATGGTTGCTAAAAGACATCCTTGATGATATGTTTAATAAAATATTACAATAGATTCAAAAAGGTGAAACGTGTTTGTGTACAATAGAGATGCAAGAGAGTAAATTTAGTACTTCAAGCTATAAAGAATTTGGTAGCAAAAATTTTATTCAATAAATTTTATTTTCAATATCAGAAATTCGTATTTATTTAATGGAAAAGCGTGAAGTTTATCGCCTTCACCTTCTCAAAACGTTGGATCTTTCAACTTATCATCTTTTGCGTATTAATTTGATTTGGACTTGGAATATTCGGGTTTGTATTATAAATATTTATGACTTGCGGCCCTCATTAGTAGTTTAATAATAATCTTCATGATCGTTTTATAGGGACTGTTAAATGATTTATTGGAGAACCTGATCAATAATGTAGAAATTGGTTCAGTCACTCCTCAAATGATATAGCTACGCAAGAAACTCCTGAAAAAAGCAAGAGAATATCTAAAGCAAACGGTAACAAGAAATGGTGCAAATCTGTGTCATCAATAAAAATCATTTATCGCATGAAAACGTGAGCATATAATACTATTTTGCAATTTATATTTACTGTAAAATTAAGTTTATTCATGTAACGTGTTAAGCCTCGTAATATTATTCATTAGAAAATTTTTAGCTACGCTAACTTCGTTAATTCTTATTATGTCTTAATACGCTACAAATTTGGATCAATAATAATTTTTGTCAATAACCGGATCGCTATAATTCAATTCAGCTGGCGAAGATTTATAATTAATAATATCATTAATTATATGACTTTCTTTACAATATCATCTTTTTTTATTTTATTTGCTCAAACTTCATCATTATATGACTTTCTTTACAATATCATCTTTTTTTATTTTATTTGCTCAAACTTCATCATTATTCGTATTTCTTCGCTTGATATTCTTTTTTCCACCACGCTTACTCTTCGTTTTCAGACATAGGAGGAGAAATAGATTACCAGAAAAATTTCACGATACTTTGGATCGGATGGTCAGTTATTGATCTGCCGAACACAGCAATAGTCACATGCTCCAGTCAGGCATTTTTATGTGGCTATTGCGGAAAAGTGACTAAATGTGAGCAAAAAATTATATAAAGTATATATAATTAGGCAGAAAATTATATAAAAATATTATTTTTTTTCTATATACTATAGAAATTATGATAATTTTGGTCAGATTGATCTACAGATCTGCAAAGATCTGGTCAGAATTTTCAGCATGATCCTGATCCCCCATATAAATTTAGCTTATGCATCAGTTCATATTGCAGAACGCCACGAGAAGGAAGGTCATCTTCCATGATTTGATCCACTTCTCTATAAAACGCAAAAGATTAGAATAAACTAGAGGCAAACGCTATCATTACTCCTCATAAGCATGCAAAGAAAGACATTCATTTTTGAGAATGTTTTCCTCGAAACTGATCACATCAAAAAATTTGAACTCTTGATTGTAGAAAATAAATATTACAAGAAAACTAATGCCTTAATCTGTCTTGGAATACAAAATTAAAAATTTTGGGATGGTAATTTTACATATAATCTTGTTTCAAACCTCAAATGTTTCTTCATTAAACAAGGGTGGAAGATTTATTGTCAAATTGCTCGACACTTTCTTATTATGGGATTTATATTTAAATTTGTTATAATCAATTATAAACAAATTTAAAAAAATTGATTATATGTAATGCTTGTGATCAAATGAATATGGAGAATAACTAATTTCTGAAAATAGAGGTCCACTAAAGCAGGGTAGTTTCACGTGATTTAGAGATTCAAGCAGGATTCACTCAATCCTGATCATGTGATAT